GAGTAGGTTAATGTAGACGAAATAGAACTCATTTATAATCAGTTGATCTGTCATTAGTTCAGTATGATGTAAAAGTGTATTGTATTAACTTGTTATCGAGTTTTAATGCATGTAATGAATTATATATTAAGGGTAATTATAGAATCGTTAACATCGGATTGAAATAGGTTCGTTTCCAGTTAAGAGAAACGGATAAACTGGGATATATTGATTTCGGCAAAGTCACCAATTATATTCCCTATTGTTACCATTTTCTCCTGCATAAATAAGCCCTTTTTTTCAATACGTTTTACTAATCAACATAACACAGTATGTTTTATCTACATAAATTAGATTTGACATTGTGTACTGCCTTCTTATAATGAACATGATTTATCTCTTTCAATGCCACACATAACTTACTTTGGATAAAAGACTTGGACAGTTTTATCGATAACAATCGAATATTGGTAGATATCTCATCTGCATTGACTGTCTTATCTGCCTATTACGTTAAAACCATAGTACAATCATAAAGCACATGCTCCAACTATATCAAGGCCACATATGAATAACTGAAGAGAATATAAATGGACAGTTCTTTAATTGTAATCTGAGTACCAGATTGTCAGTCGACCTTCAATCAACAAACACTCGATCTAAATACATAGACATTACCATCGAGTCAATAACGAGAGCTTACCACGTCTATCAGTCGCTTCCAATTTCTCCTGATGTCATTAGCTTGTAAATACAAACCAATTCTGCAATGTTTGTCTACTATTAGACATGAAAATGTAGTTCCGTTTACCGTCTGTCACAAGACAATACTTTATACAATTCTATATATTATATATATAGATTTAGATAGATACTAGATTTAGTCATGTGACCCTAAGTGTTTTTATATGATTAATGTATATATAAACTTGTCATTTGCTGCTCAATGCTGCAATAATTGTTTGTGTTTGTAGGTATGTGGGCCAAGGACAGTTATAGCTCTTTGCATTGCTTCGATTTCTTGTCTGACATGTAATTCTATATTACGTTACGACTACTTGTCAACTAAACCATTTAGCTTAATTAATTCTTGCAGTCGATCAGATGAGGCGATAAACCATCTTCCAGTGTGCCAAAACCTGTGTCAATTTAAGATCCTTTGACAGGAAAGGACGCCGAGTCTAATGCCGTTCTACTAGCAAAATTTCTCTCATTGTACATTGTATCCGTTCATTGTCCCTCAAATTAGTTGAAACATTAGTTTCAAATTCTGCTGCCAAAGTGATTTTCCAAGTATAAGAGTCGCAAGCAGGTTGTCAATCTTCTTAATGATCAGGTCACAGTTGTATATAACAAATATTGGTATCCAGGGTATATCAGTTTACGTTATGACTAACGGTTTTGATCGTATTCATAACGATTTCATTGATTGATTGATGTATTTCATTGATAGATTGATATATTTAATTGATTGATAGATTGATATATTTAATTGATTGATTGATATATTTAATTGATTGATATATTTAATTGATTGATATATTTAATTGATTGATTGATGTATTTCATTTATTGATTGATATATTTCATTTATTGATTGATATATTTCATTGATTGATTGATTTATTTCATTGATTGATTGATTTATTTAATTGATTGATTGATATATTTAATTGATTGATAGATTGATATATTTAATTGATTGATATATTTCATTTATTGATTGATATATTTCATTGATTGAGTGATATATTTCATTGATTGATAGATTGATATATTTAATTGATTGATAGATTGATATATTTAATTGATTGATAGATTGATATATTTAATTGATTGATAGATTGATATATTGAATTGATTGATAGATTGATATATTTAATTGATTGATAGATTGATATATTTAATTGATTGATAGATTGATATATTTAATTGATTGATAGATTGATATATTTAATTGATTGATATATTTAATTGATTGATTGATGTATTTCATTTATTGATTGATATATTTCATTGATTGATTGATATATTTCATTGATTGATTGATTTATTTCATTGATTGATTGATTTATTTCATTGATTGATTGATTTATTTCATTTATTGATTGATATATTTAATTGATTGATAGATTGATATATTTAATTGATTGATATATTTCATTTATTGATTGATATATTTCATTTATTGATTGATATATTTCATTTATTGATTGATATATTTCATTTATTGATTGATATATTTCATTGATTGAGTGATATATTTCATTGATTGATTGATGTATTTCATTGATAGATTGATGTATTTCATTGATAGATTGATATATTTAATTGATTGATAGATTGATATATTTAATTGATTGATAGATTGATATATTTAATTGATTGATAGATTGATATATTTAATTGATTGATTTAATTGATTGGTTGATTTAATTGATTGATTGATATATTTCATTGATTGATTGATTGATCTATTTCATTGTGATTATTTTATGTTTACATGTAATGATTATACTTTACCGACATCGCCTTATGGTGTCAATAACACACCGTACCTTTCATAAATACACCCAAAACCTTTATCACAACAGTATCTTCTTCTCATTTCAGGTTATTTAAAAGGCGGTCCGATTTAAAGACATTATTTAAAGGTTTTAAGCATCTAGAAAATGATGATGAACTGCGGGATAACGAGGCGTTAGAACACCACTCAACACTAGTGATGACCACGCTAGATGATGCTATTAGTAATATTGATAATGTGGAATATATATCGTGTATGCTATCCGAGCGAGGAGCCTCACATACCAGGTTCACAGGATTTGCTGAGTGCAATTTTTGGGTAAGTCTCCTTTTGTGCATGTATTCAACAATCCGAATACTACTAAAACTACGTGTGAGTGTTTGTTATCACCAAGCCCATTGAAAGACAGAAGAATCGAAAATATTAAGTATGAGTTATTGCCCATGCTCTTGAAAACGCGTTCACATTTTAGCCCGTAAACACTCTAGATGACACAATTCTTGACTGATTTTGTTTGCTATCCCCCAAGAATGAACACTATCAAAAATTGTATGATTCGAAAAATATTTAATAGGGGTTATTGCCCTTGTTCTTGAAGACGAGTTCAATTAATGTTCTTTAGCATCATTACCTGGGCCCTGCCTAACTAATGCTGAGTTGACCAAATTAGCCTTAGAGGGACGCCATTCCTACCACCTAATTTGTGTTGGGCATCACTATAACTTTCGTTTTGTTAGTATTATTTTGTTGCTCACGCACTTTTAAATGGCCGTTGCGATATCAGTTGCGTTAAAACAACTTTGAATGAACCAGAGACATTACATAAATGGTGAAGGAAGAAAGTGAAGGTACATCTGTCCAAATCGCTATCAGAGGCTGGAATAGAGACAGATGTTCTAAGCCTGTAATAAACAGCACCTCGGTTTATTGTTCCACTGACAGAAAGTTACTCACCGGACAGTTAATCACAGGACAATTGCTCACCGGATAGTTACTCACCAAACAATTGCTCACCGGATAGTTACTCACCAAACAATTGCTCACTGGACAGTTGCTCACCAGACAATTTGTCACCGGACTAATGCTCACCGGACAATTGCTCACCGGACAGATGCTCACCAGACAATTTGTCACCGGACTAATGCTCACCGGACTATTGCTCACTGGACAATTGCTCACTGGACAATGGACAATTGCTCACTGGACATTTGTTCACTGGACAGATGCTCATTAGACAAATGATGCTCAACGGACTATTGCTCACTGGACAATTGCTCATCGGACAATTGCTCACTGGACTGATGTTCATTAGACAAATGATGCTCACCGGATTAATGTTCACCGGACTATTGTTCACTGGACAATTGCTCACCGGACAATTGCTCACTGGACAGATGCTCATTAGACAAATGATGCTCACCAGATAGTTGGTCACCGGACATTTCTCACCAGTCGGTTTCTGTCCGGACAAATGTTCACCAGACAATTGCTCGACAGACAGTTGCAAACTGGACAAATGCTCACCGGACAATTCCTCACCAGACATTTGCTCGCCAAAGAAATGGGAAATAGGACAATTGATCACCAAAAGTTTTTAACATATTTCTTTTCTGTTAATATATTCAATTCTAAGACCTGTGGCTCTTATTCTCAAATGATGGGTTATTGGAGTGGACCAGTACATGACTCTTTTTACAAGTCATGCCTTAATGGAGCAAATCGATCCAGATCCAACCACCATCATCGCATACTTCAGGAAGGCAGTAATCGGTGCTATCATTGATGTCATAGGGAAGCATATATCCAACCAAAGATGTTTTTATCATCTGACTTAGGGTACCTGGCGCACGGTAAAGCAGCTATGACTAACTAAAATTTGTACAGGAACTCCTCTGAGGCGCAACTCTTTACCAGTATTATTAATGAGCTAGCCTTCCGGCCAGTTTGCTCGGTCAAGAAGGAGATGACATACCTTCAAGTTGAGCCTGGTTTGAATTCTCCGCTGTCATACTTTGACAACACATTCATGAAGAGGTCATTAAAGCATTTGTCCTGTGCGAGCAAGTGGAATGTATGATTTTTACCGTTGGTGGTATTTACATAAATCAATAGTTTATAAAATATAAAATTTAATACAAATGATTAAAAATTATAATACAAAACACGTGTAGGATTATGAAAAACATAAATGCAATCTTATTAGATAAATTAGAATATACCATCCATTAAATTTGTTTATATACAGGATCAATTAGTTAATTTATTGGTCTGATATAATATATAATATTAATATAAAAAACATGTATTTCATTATATATCTACATATTATATTATCTACAGATATATAAAATATAAGTTCGGTGGTCAATCGGCTTGAAAAACTTTTAAGTGATATACATGTGCATGTATTTGAACTAAAAGAGACGAAAACAACTTGGATATATAGTAAAGATAAGTTTTTCATTCATAAGGATGCCTGTCGTCAATAAGTCTATTATTCACAATTAAGAATCGGCTTCTGCGGGATGTGTTGAGAATTTCTGGGCAAAGCATGAACTAATTTATCCCAGAATATTTTATCATTAACTTCAAGATATGTATGTTGTCTAAAATAAGCTTTCAAATCATCGTTTAAATTATCAACTTCTATCTTATCTTTTAAAATTATCACAATTTTTATGTCTTTTTCCTTTAACATTTGCTTATAAGCAGAATGGAAAGTATATAGACACAATTCATTTTGTAGAAAATTGTTCGAGAATATAAATAAGGTACAATAACTATTGGAGATAGCATCGTTAACATTTTCAGCTTCATCTACGCCAGGTAGAAAATCTCTATCTCTAAGAATCGTTTTATAATAAGGTTTTTCAATATCTTCTAGTCGTTTTAATAAAACATTCTTTATCCAAGTTATATCTTCATCATCATAAACAATAAATACATCATTTTCTTTCAGTGTTTCGCTTACAACAGGTGGAGCGAAATACTGAATACCAAGACGAGTATATAATAATACCTTAGCGTTAAATCTACATTTTATAATGAGATATTTTAGAAAGATTAATAATAATAATAATAGGTATCAAATAAAACGGATATGATTTCGGCCGGACATAACACTGTAAGCTATCGTATGTAACATCAATAACGTTAATAGACAGAAAATTACACTGGAGCTGATCTTTATCAGTTATTGGTGTGTTCTTTACTCTCAACCATTTAGCAAACCATAACAAATCACAAGAACAAAGCCATGGATTATATGATAAGTAGACCTGTGTTGAAGGAGAGAATGGAATATGTATTATATCTCTAGGTAGAGAAGTAATATTATTATGAGTTAGATCCAGTGTTTGTATACCAGACAACCTGATTAGTGCGAAACGATTTATAGTACTAATTTGATTATACCTTAGATCTAGTTGAACGATTCTGTTGAAATAATCACGTGTATCTAGTTTATCTATCTTATTAAATGTGAAATTTAGACTCAGTCTTCCTTTTGGAAGGTCCCGTGGTAAGGTTGATAGGGTTTTATTGATGCAGACGATAGAGGTAATATCTGATGACTTATTATAGTCACATATACACGACACTGGACATTTCATCACCATCGGACACGAGTCAGTGAGATTTAAGGATAATACAGATTTATTTTGTAGTCTGGCCGGTTCCTGACATTTCATCAAGTCTTTATCGGTGAACATTTGCTGTATAGATTGTTGAGCCATTAACTCCTTTGTCCTACAATTGCATATATATGGATTGTGGGAAGCTTTAACTTTTAAGTACCTCGATTTTACCGTAGATCGGTTATATTCAAATGGTGGATATTTTAATTGATTGGATCGCAAATCGACCTGATAGTTCAAAGGGATATTAAAACTGAGTCTACAATCAAACACGATCAAATTATTCCCATTTAAAAACAAATCCTTGAGATACTTTAAATTAGAAAAGGCTGCTATTTCTATAGTTTCAATCTGATTATAGCTTAGATCAAGATATTTTAGTATGTTAAAAGAAGGAAAGGAACTCTGTTTAATTTCCTTGATAGAATTATGGCTCAGTGTAAAATTATATATCAATGGATTTGTAAAATTGTTTAAATTTGATATCTGATTGTATGATAGATCTACCGGGATTCCTGACCGGAACAGGGAATAGCAGAGAGACCTTAGAAACTTGAAACTTACTCCTATTTCACACACATAATCTGTCAAGTTATTTAGCTCAGGTTTCACTTTGCCTAAAGATAACTTAAAGCGCAGATTCGGAATTTTATTTAGATTGCTGTTTGAGATTTGAAAACGGGTCCTTACGGTTAGATCCCGAAATCGAAATTTGTCCACATCTGAGGGGCGTATGGAATCCAACACGAAATTCTCAGTTCTCGTATATGGGGGGAATAAAATAGGACCGTCATTAATAATGTTACAATTAAACATGCGAAATTGGACAGTTTTTCGTAGAAAATCAGACGACGTCCACACTATATCAGCATCACCAGAACAAATAATATGAATATCATAATCTAGAGACTGATTACTTTCTGTTGCCATAGTCATTTCCTCAGTAAAATTGAAAGTCAAATCGTTAGTCAAATCACAGAAAATACGACCCCTATCGGTCATTGTACAGTTACAAGACTGTGGACAATATACTTCTTGTATTGGTTCATACGTAGGTGTAATTTGGCCCTCCACAATAATACCAAGCATAAACACACAGACAATCTGAGGTATATTTATCATCTTCATCATCTTCATCTGAAAAGAAAACAACACTCCAGAGATGTCATAATGTTCAATTTGTAAAAGAAAAATAGAGAAAAAGGTTACTTGACTTGTAAACGCCTAGAACGTCTTGGCTGGGTGTAATGTCTGTCAGTGGCCTTATAACTTTGTATCTTGTGGCCTCATTATCCCAAAATATGAAAGTATTGCTATTTGTTCAATGCTGACGTACTTATCATGATTGCTAGCTCTGTGTTAGCCACACCAATTTCATGATGGCATTGATTCACCCTGGGGAAATGTAAAAGAAATAATTTTACGAGATTGAAACGGCCTTCCACTAGTGAAGAAGAAATTAAAACTCTTAAATCTTGATATATTGAGAAAAGCCTTGAATTATTAACTCAATAAAGACTTCATTACTATTCCAATAAATGACAATTTAGGTTTATAACCTTGTATCAATTATATCTTTATCCTTTGGTCTCATTCTCATTGGGGCCAATTCCAATTTTAGCTTACATGTTTCGCGTTTTGGACTACTGATTGGGAAAATCAAAACTAGAAGCAGATGCTTATTAACAAATTGAATATCTACATTGTATCTATAGTCTTTATAATGAAGGATTTCCAAATTTAGTTGAAAGAAAATGTACTTGATCCATGGTACTTGATTCATAGTAGTATATATAGCAAAGTAAGAACTCTAAAGGATTCGATATTCTTCTTAAATAGATTATTTATCCAAATGCCATCGTCTTGTATTAGGTTTTTAAGAGATACACCAATGTAAAAACACTGACACAGGTCACAATTATTAGATATTATTCGTGGAAGTTCGAAGTAAGATAGTAAAAACTTCCAACAGTTGAATAACCTGCGAATTCACAGCTTTAAATGGAGGTATGTTTCAAATTTGTATGTCTAATTTGTTCAAAAAAAGAATAAATTGTTGCAGGGTTAAATCACATATCAGATTAATTTGTTCTCGGGGCTCACTAGACAGGTGTGAAAATACATGTTCATGTATTGTAATATATTACCAAAAAGAGAATTATAAGGTCATTAATAATTTGAAAAACTCAAATCCCTTAGAGAATATGGTATAGCTGCCCAAACTTACAAAAATGGTATTTTTGGTGGGCTATAAAACCGGAAATCCTGCTTTCCATCCAATATAAGCATATCTTTACACAGTTGAGGTCAATGAGATTCTACACTACTATTTACTCATTATAGGTAAAGGTCAAGAGATATAGAC